CATGTATTAGAGGAAGAAAGCATTACGTTTGATGATACAGATGCGGATGACGTATTAACTCCACATAACGATGCACTGGTAATATCTTTACTTGTACATGACACTAATGTGAAATGAGTTTTGATTGATCCAGGTAGCTCTGTGAATATTATTCTTCTAAGAGTTCTGCACGAGATTCAAGCTGAAGCTAAATTAGCACCCAAGGCGCACACTTTGTCTGGGTTCGACAATTCCAGCATCGTGACGAAAGGTGAGGTAATACTTACTACATTTGCAGAAGGGGTCATCAAGGATACAATGTTTTAGGTGGTATAGATGGAGATGGCTTATAATATGATTCTCGGAAGACCATGGATCCACGACATGGACGTCGTTCCATCAACCTTACATCAAGTTATTAAATTTCCAACACCATGGGGAATACGTCAAATCCGTGGAGATCAACAGACATCCAGGAGTATCAACTCTGTGGCAGATTCAAGTATGAGGAACGAAGAAAAATAGCAGTTACAGAATCCAGTTGAGGGTACTACAACACAAACCTTAGCTGAACAAGAACGAACAGATGTAGACTCAAGGCCTGATGTCATTCAAGAACCAGAGGAAAATGAAAATAGCAAAACAACGATTGAAGAGCTGGAGGCTGTAGTATTATTCACACAGTGGCCTGAAAGGAAAGTCTACGTAGGGGCCAATCTAAGCCAGGGCATGAAAGGTAATTTGATTGAATTTTTGAAAACTAACGTGAATTGTTTTGCTTGGTCCCATTCTGATATGACATGAATACCACCGGAGGTAATGACTCACAAGTTAAATGAAGACCCCTCATATACACTTGTCAAACAAAAGAAGAGAAAGCAAGGAGCTTTCAAGAATCAGGTGATTCAAGATGAGGTCCAAAAATTACTAAAAATCGGGTCTATCCGCAAGGTAAAGTATCCTAATTGGTTAGCTAATACTGTTGTAGTACCGAAAAAGAATGGCAAGTGGCGAGTTTGTGTAGATTACACAGACCTTAACAAAGCTTGTCCCAAAGACTCTTTTTCATTGCCACATATAGATCAGCTAATTGATGCTACTGTAGGACATGAGTTGTTAAGCTTTTTAGATGCATATTCAGGTTATAACCAAATTAAAATGGATCCTTTAGATGAAGAAAAAACCTCATTTATAACAGACAGGGGGACTTACTGCTATAAAGTAATGCCTTTTGGCCTCAAAAACGCTGGTGCAACGTATGAAAGACTGGTGACCAAAATGTTCCAAGAACACTTGGGAAAAACTATGGAGGTCTATATAGATGATATGATCGTCAAAACTGAACATTCGGGGGATCATATATCGCACTTATCAGATACGTTTCAGATCTTGCAGAAATTCAATATGAAATTAAACCCTGAGAAATGTGCGTTTGGTGTTGCATCAGGTAAGTTTTTAGGTTTTCTTGTTTCTAACCGTGGTATTGAGGTGAATCCAACGCAGATTAAAGCCATTGAAGAAATCCCTGATGTACTTACAAATAAAAAAGAAGCACAAAGATTGACAGGAAGAATTGCAGCTTTGGAGAGATTTATTTCCAAATCATCCGAAAAGTGCTTTAAATTCTTTTCAGGTCTTAAAAAGCAAGACAGGTTCGAATGGACTGAGGAATGTCAACAGGCGCTCAAAAATTTGAAGACATACATGTCAAATCCGCCGTTGCTCGCAAAACCAAAGGTCGGAGAAAGATTGCTCATTTATCTTGCTGTCTCAGAAGTAGCGGTAAGTGCTGTTTTAGTTCGTGAAGACCAAGGTAAATAGTCTCCAATTTATTATGTCAGTAAATTATTATTAGATGCGGAGACGCGATATCATCAATTAGAAAAGCTTGCACTTGCACTGATCATGTCATCTAGAAAGCTGAGACCTTATTTTCAATGTCATCATATTATCGTGGTAACTGCTTATCCATTACGCAACATATTACACAAGCATGAGTTGTCTGGTAGGTTAGCTAAATGGGCTATAGAACTAAGTGAATATGATATTACATACCAACCTAGAACCGCGATAAAATCTCAAGTATTAGCAGATTTTTAGCTGATTTTAGCCAAGAGATGCAATTAGAAGCGGAAAAATAATTACAAGTGTTCAACGGGTCTAATCCAGGAATTGTGACCTTATTTGTAGATGGCTCATCTAATGTAAAGGGAGTAGGTTTAGGAGTTGTTTTGATGCCACCTACGGGTGAAACCATTTGCCAGGCCATAAAATGCCATTCTATAACTAACAATGAGGCAGAGTATGAAGCTGTGATTGTAGGTTTGGAACTGGCACGTGAACTTGGCATTAATCAAATTGTAATCAAAAGCGATTCACAGCTCGTGGTTAACCAAATGTTGTGGACTTATACAGCCAGGGAGGCACGAATGCAGCAATATTTGGAAAAGGTACGGGATTTAATTAGATAGTTTCAAACCTGGAAAGTCATGCAAATATCGAGAGATGAAAATGTCGAAACAGACGCCCTAGCTAATCTCGCATCTGTGGCAGATGTGGCAAGCAATGAAAATGCTTCTGTAATTCATTTGTTTCATTCAGTACTCGATCCAGACAAAAGTGAGGTAAACTTCAATAATTTAACCTGGGATTGGAGAAACGAGATTGTCGCTTTTTTGCAGTATGGTACCGTCCCTAAAGATAAGAAAAAAGCCCACGTGCTTCGGAGAAAGACCGCACGATATTGTTTGAAGCAGGGTAATCTTTATCGAAAGATGTTCGGTGGCCCCTTAGCAAGATGCCTCGGACCTTCTCAAACAGAATATGTAATGAGAGAGATATACGAGGGGCATTGTGGAAATCACGCGGGAGGAAGGTCACTTGTAAGAACCATGATTAGAACAGGCTACTATTGGCCTAAAATGGAAGAAGAAGCAGAGAATTTCGTGGCTAAATGTGATAAGTGCCAAAGATATGGAAACAACATGCATAGACCTGCGGAACTATTACATCCGGTCAATGCACCGTGGCCCTTTATGAAGTGGGGAATGGATATTGTGGGACCATTACCACAAGCAAAGGGACAGGTAAAGTTTCTACTTGTACTCACTGATTACTTTACTAAATGCGTAGAAGCAAGAGCATTTAAACAGGTACGGGAAAAAGAGGTCAGAGATTTCATTTGGCGAAATATCATATGTCGATTCGGTGTACCAAAGGAAATCGTGTGTGATAACGGCTCACAATTTATGGGCGCTCAAATTACAGAATTTTTGCAAAGCTGGCAAATCAAAAGGATTACGTCCACACCTTACCACCCAGTAGGTAATGGACAAGCGGAGTCAATAAATAAAGTCATTCTCAACAATTTGAAAAAACGGTTAGAAGAATCTAAAGGCAATTGGCCAGAAGTGTTACCTGGTGTTTTATGGGCATATCGCACAACAACAAAAACAAGCATAGGTGAAACACCATTTTCATTGGTGTAAGGGGCTGAAGCTTTAATCCCGATTGAAATAGGGGAACCAAGCACGAGGTATACGCAGGCGTCAGAAGAAACTAATGAAGAGCAAATGCGCATAAACCTTGACCTACTTGAAGGACGAAGAGAAAATGCATTAATAAGAATGGCAGCACAAAAACAAGTCATTGAGCGATATTACAATCGGAAGGCACGATTATGATACTTCAAGATTGGGGACTTCGTGCTCAAGAAAGTTTTTCAATCCACGAAAACAGTCAATACCGGAAAATTAAGTCCAACTTCGGAAGGACCTTACAGGATTCATGGTACTGCGGGAAAAGGAGCATACGAGCTGGAAAATATGGATGGCAAGATATTATCTTCACATTGGAATGCCGTTCACTTGAAGAGATACTATTTCTAAAAGAATACCCACGGTCAGGTATCTTCATTTTAAAATTCCGTTTTTGAATTGATAAAAGTTTTACTAACGATTTTAGATGATAGGCAAAAAGCTATCCTGTACTAAATGATGAATCACGACCTGCAAGGCACGTGGAATAAATTAAAATTCCCGGTCTAGGGTTACAACTATTTTGATAGAAATTCAGACGCGTTAAGCAGTCTTCATCTATAATCGCCCCTCCGAGTCCCGTGTTTTTTTCTTTTCAGGGAAAGGACCGAATGAGAGGAACAATCAAGTGCTCAAGTTTTCATGCTTCAACGCTCAAACACTTGGGGGACCATATGATGTATACATACGCAAATCCATAAAGAAGACAAAGAAGATTGAGAAGCAATCAAAAGTTCAAGCCTAATCAACTCATTGAAAGAGTTAAGTGCAGAGCAAAAACCACCAAAAGATAGTCACGAGCTAATAGCCACGGGCCAAGGCCAAGACGAAACCTTACCATAGTTGGGTTAAAGGCAATGTACTGAAACAAGTTATAGATAAAAACCTTGTATTTAGAGTACGTGTACTAAAACGGGTTATTACATAACAACCTTGTATTTTATTCTTTCTTTTGAATCTGTTGTGAGGAAAACAGTTACGAAAAAGTTATAGATGTTATTTAAATACATGTAAAGTGTTACTTAAACTTGGCAAAGTTCAAATAAAAACTTGTCAAAGTTCTTTCAAGAAACATGTTTATTCCTATTTCTTTTGTCGTATGTTAACACCATTATGAAGTTGAGACGTCTTCTTCATTAAGTGTCGAATATAAAAGGGCCCTCTTTTATAATTCATGATTGATTTAAGACATTCATGAGAAAAAGTAAGCATTTTACAAAATAAAAATGCAAGTTATTCAGTAAGTCCTTAAAAATAAAGGCAAGAATAAACGAAACAGAAGTTTAAATAGTAATGAAAACTTCATAATATTAAAAAGTTCAGACTAATTATGAACTTAGTCATAAACCAAAAAGTTGATTAAACAAAATGCCCCATAAAAGGTCTGGGGACTTAACGTTTTCCACAAACCCTTAAAAAGACCAAGGGTTGCAACCACCACCAAGGAAAAAAAACAACAAAAAGCAACAAAGGAATTTAAACTTTTCACTGGGAACTTGAAGGAACTAAAACAGGGACATCAACAGCAGCGGGCGGCTCAGCTTGACTTGAAGGAGTGGGGATACTATCATCTTCAACTTGTTCAGAAACTTCAGCCATGGGAGAAGAGAAATCTTGGTTCTGCTGAGTCTTCTCGAGAGCCTCTTTGATCTTGGCTAACTCAGATTCTAAGTTGAAGTTCTCCTGGCTAACTTGAACGAGGGTATCATGGCGAGAATCTAAAAACGCCCAACACACTTCAATGGCAGATTTCTCTTCAAGGATCTCATAATCTCTTTCCCAATCAGCAATTTCATTTCATAATTTTTCATTTTCAGCGAAGGCAGATTCGTGAGAAGCTTGGAGTGCAGCATGAGAACTCTCTAAAAAGAGAACCTTATCAGAAGATTCCCGGAAGTCTTCTTGAGTTTGAGTCAGTGTTTGGACGAGTTCTCCAGCATATGCTTCTTTCTCAGCCAAGAGAGCCTTCAACTCTCTAATCTCCTCACTAGCCTTGGAATGTTGCTCAGAAAAAGAGGTTTCAAGACGTAACTTCTCTTTACTTGCTTGACTTGAGGAAGCTTTTACAACTGCCAGCTTTGAAGTCAAGGTCCTTACCTGCTGCTCCAAGGTACTTTTATTTTCTTCTAAGGTTTCCACATCAATTTGAAGACCGTCATACTGTCCCTTCCAATTATCCGCCTCCAATTGATAGTCACGCATTAATTGCTCTAAAAGGGTAACTCTTTTCATCATCTCTGTGCCAATTAAATTAACCTAAACAAAAAAGAAAAGGGAAGATGAGAACGCTAAAAATAGGAGAAGGATAAAATAAAGCTTGAAAAAAGGGGTACCTTTAAAGAAGCATGCAATATGTCATTCATCAAGGTCAATGAACTGTGGCTCTCAAGCTTAGCTCTTTCAACTGGACCAATCAAAGGCTTTAGCCACACGTCTGCTTGTCCTGATTTCCTTAAAAGATTACACTTAGCAGGAACTTCAATGGTGACTTGTCTCATAACAGTATTTCCACTCGAGGAACCAACCTCAGTATGATGAACAGGTGGAGGAGGAATCGTTGAGGGGGGGACAGTGGAAGCAGTAAAAACAGTCTGGGAAGGAACGGAAACAGTCATAATTGGTAAAGAAAGAGTCACAGGAACGGAAGTGGTAAAAGAAGCCAGGGGTGCTTCATCAGAAGCCGGACCAAAATCTTCACTATCAAACCCGCGGTTAAAAAGCTTCTCAACAGAATCATGAGCAGCAGTGGGAACATCATCAACATCATCATCAGGGATCACCACCAGGGCTTCAACAGACTCGGTAAGAGGAATAGAATGGTGGGGGGATGCTTCATCATCAGAGATAATACGCCTACGAGCCCGCGGCCTTGTTACCAAGGAACTTTCATCTTCATCTTCTTCAGAGTCTTGGTCATCAACGACTTTTCTTTTCGATGAAGAGCCCAAAATTATTTCTTGGGCCCTTTCCAAAGAAATACAAGAAGCCACGACCGCCTCTGTAGTAATCCCTCGAACTGCAAATCCTGATAAAGAAGAAGGATTAAAATAAGTTCAGAGAAAAGAGAAAAAAAGGGGCAATATGTGAAATAAAAAAAAACTCTTACCGTGAGTTTTCACTTTCCAACCGAATCATTGGGAAAGAGTCTTCCATGACCTACCCTCCATTGGGGAAGCATTCAATAATTTTCCTACCCAAACACGGAAATTGGGAATATCATCCACAATTCCCATGGTTGCTGGAAAAGAAAAAGAAAATTTAAAATCATCAAAATTAAAGGGAAAAAAGGTACGAGAAAATTACTCACGTGCAAAATTCCACTTCTCGGGGAAGGGAACGTTTCCATCACCCACCAAACCAGCGGTGGGGGAAGCAACAAATCGGGCATACCAGCCACGGTCTCTGTCATCCTCTGGATTAACTAGAACTCTTTTGCTCCTTGCTACTAAAGTGAAAACACCATTGCGAAAGAGCCTAGGGGAGTAAAGATGAATTAGATGAGAGAAAGTGAAAGGCACACCGGCCAAATTGCTCAAATGCCTCAAACAGGCAATAGACCTCCATACTATAGGGCCGATCTGACCTAAACATACGTCGAAAAAATGACAGAATTCTAGAATGACAGGGTCAATAGCAGGTTTGAATCCTAAGGTGAAAGGATATGTATAAACAAAGGAAAACCCCGTCAAATAAGAGGTGATTCTTTGGTTCGCATTAGGAATTATGATAGGAAAATCCTGACTCCAGTGGCAATCTTTACGAACTAAAGAAATTAGACCTTCAATGATCTGAGTTGGGTAAATATCAGCATGATCTAAAGAAGATACTTGGTTTCTAAGAGACTCTCTATCATTATAGAAGGAAAATTCCGCAGGAATTATCTCCTCTACTAGAGGTTCACGAAGAGGCTCAGAGGATTCCTTACCTCTAGAGGAAGATCTATGTAAAACAGAACCTCTGGTTCTAGAAGAAGGGCCAGAACTGGATGAAGACCCTAAATTACGTAGTCTACCACCCCCTCTTCTACTCCTATTAGGGGCAGAAGGAAAGTTATCAACTATGGAGACTCTCCTAGGGTTAGGGTTTGGTGAAGCCATGGCAGTACGAGGAAGGTAAAGAACAAGAATTGAATATTCTAAGAGTTTTACAAGGAAGATGGAAACAAGAATTGGATATTCTGAAAGCTTTATGAGGAAAAGACAAAGGCACAAAACTAAATTTATACTAGGAAGCAACCGTCAAAGAAAAAGGTACAATGATGGAAAGGTCATAATGAGAACTGTCGCTTCCTGATTAGTGAAGCCGTAAAAAATCCTTAAAAGGCGCTGCAAAGTTGCAGAGCCAATAAGAGGGCGCCACGTGTAATGAGCATTAAATGAAAGTGACAATTGAAGCATTGATTCTATCATAGCATTAATGGCAGTAAATATTCCCGCTTTAATGAAATTCGCTTCCCAAATATTCAATTGATGAATAAATGGCAAGTGGGGGGACTATCTGTATTGGGTAAAACTGAGTTTATGCATATCGAAGTGATTGAAAGATGACATGTCATGACACGTAGGCAGGTCAAAGAATGGTGATTAAGCAAAGAGGCACGAGTTGCAACAGATACGAGCGGAAGCACAAGAAGAGGCACGAGCAAATATTCATAAGACTCGACGTTCATACCTATTTAAATCTAAAAGCTGAGAAGAATGAACCTGACAACACAAGAGAGCCCAGATACAGTGTTTAATAAGCATTAAATACTGAAAATGTTAGAGGATCTGTATTAAATTGCAATGATTATGTAACGTAGCATTTAATGCCTTTAATCGTCCATAATGACCTTATTATGACAAAGGCAAAACGTATAGCTTAAAAATAGCTATAAAAGGGAGAAGATTGATCATTTGTAAGGACACGACAATATCATCTAAATATACTAGTTTACTTTGTTTGCTGCTATCTATTGGTTATCAAAATCTATTTCTTTTATTCATTTTCGATTATCAGTAAACCTAGTTCTTCTAAAAATAAAGCTTTAACCGAAATTCTATTTTTTGGTTCAACAGTTATCTCAGTCGAACATTCATTATATTATCTTGTTATGATTGTCTATATGTTTGTTGATTCGTCTAGTGGGTTGGGTTAGATGCCATCTTGGTCTTGGTGGAATTTTGGGTCGTGACATTCAGATGAAGTGATCAATGTCTAGAATTGATGAAAAGTGTTGAATGATCATCAGAGACAGATCCAGTATTTTAACTCTATAGATTTATTCTTTAAGTTTCTTAGTATTGAACTCGTTATATTTTAAAGTTGTGTTAGTCTATCCCTTTAAGCTTCTCTTTATCTCAAAGGAGTTTAAACGATCCTGAGCCGATATTAGACAAGAAGGATGCAAGCTAGCCAACACCATGATCTTAACCGCATTGGTCTCTGGCAGGATATCAAGGAATATCAGGAAAAAATTAGCCTTTTTTCAATTCTTAGCCAAATATTGAAAGTTTGCAACTCCTCTTGCCGTGTGAAAAGATAGGAATGCTCCTTGTTCTTTTTTCTGAATATATACAAGGAATACTAACATTAAGAATATAATTATAACTATTATTTTAATTCTAATACCCTTCTTTAATTTTCATTTCTCTCTCTCTCTCTCTCTTCCTTTTCTTGCTGCAGGCATAGATCAGAGTGGCCCTTGGATTATTTGATAGGTTAAGATTAGCTGTTCTAACGTACAAAGGGATCCATCTCAGCTGGATAAATGTGATATAATCTCAGAGAATTAAAGCTTAGTACATTCTTTTTTTATATAGTACTATATATATATATATCTGATCCGTATACCAAATTCCTTTTTGAAGTGGTTGTTATACTATATAATTTTGTACAATGCTAAACAGTAGCCCCATAACTTGAATTTGGTAGCAAGAAACGCAGCTTCTGAGAATATTAGTTATGATCAGATCTGTCAGTAATTAAATGGAATTGTGAACAAGGATCCACATCGTAATTACAAAGTTGTAAATGTTTATACATATATTCAACTGTGTAAGAACAATTTAATTTGGACTTACTATCTTCGATTCAAAATTCTATATATACTAGGAGTATAATTTTAAAACTTACAGCTATATAGAAAAAAAAATCTAACTACTTATTGCAAAAGAAATAATTTGTGAATCAAGTAACCTTTTACGATTTAGTAATCACTTCATTTTTCTCATATTAATAAGCGCGTAAGTGTCACAAAAATGAATATGCAATTGATTTGGACAGGGCTTCCACTACATATATGCATTAGTGAATGTACTATCATCCTTTTTCAACTACTTTAAGGGTATTGCGTACTATATGTATGAAAATTAAGTGTCCACTTGAATGTTCCATAGGACGAGGAGTATCAATTAACTACATGTTTACTGCAAAAACAAGTACTTAAATAATATTTAGATTGTCAAAAGTTCATTATATCTTCAGAACGTAATAATAATTGCTTGGAAAATCACTGTGATGTGTTGAGTTAGGCATGTTACATGGTGCAAAGATGCCACTGCAAACCAATTAGAGTTTCTTCACATGCCCAAAGTAAAATATCGTACATCACAAACATTCCTCCTTTAATTTCTTTGGGGGGACCTTATTAGCAACAAATATTACATATTATGTAGTTGGCCATGTCAGCAATGTCTCTTCCACCTATGCAAAGTCAATAGTCAAAGGTGTTTATTACTCCTCACTTTGTAAATTGGAAAATTATAAGTTTATTTATCGGGTTGGCAATTGGGTGCAAGTTTAAGTGGTCAGGAGGTCATTTTGCCTTCTTAAAATTAATTTTTTGCTTTGTATGGGTTACGCACATCTCCACTATTATATCGGGTACTTATTATCTTTCATCAGTATAGGTTTTGAGTAACTCAACTCATCAAGGCTTCGTTGCTAATATTTTAACCTGAGAACCACTCACTTTATTTGTGCGGCTTCTCTAACTTAATTTGAATTAACAATTTGAATATGAATGATTCCGATCAGATCATAAAATTTTATTAATGAAGCACACTCCAAGACATGGCTCAAAGTACTCTTTCTGACACAGTACTTTTGTCGTATTTTCGGACTAAAGTGATTTATTAAGTATGTATTTTCCTTAAAAGTTAACGAGATCTTGATAAAGTTAAATAATATTTCAAAAGAGGAATAATTAAAGCGAACAAATG